TCTTTGTAATTATCAGTCTGATGTCCTTAATACCTTTGATGTCCTCTCAGATTAATCAGTGATGAAGGAAAAACAGCTAATTTTAGTATTTCCTTTCCTGTTGATATGCTCTGGCACTGAGATGCCTTTCTGCCAAGTAATAAATGACATGTATATTTGCTTTTGCATAACTTGCTTTTATGGAGAAATTAAGGCACAGAATCTTGGAATTCACACTTGGGAAATGATTACTAATCTTATTCCTCTTAAAAAATATAATATAAAATATGTTATTTGGGCAAGATTTAGTTTCAAATTCAAACATAATTCTTTTGAGTAAGTTATTTCCTTAGTTATGAAATGAACAGACTCCAAGGCTTGACTGTTGTTCACAGTTGAAGTATATTCCTGTACAACTTAACTAGGTGACAGGACAGGATCACAGTATTGGTCAAAATGAGGATTCTAGTAATCTACATTACATAGTAAAATCTCAAATAATTTTGACTTGTTTCCTGCATGGATTAACTCAAGGTCTCAGAATCCATCTGGTAGCATGTTTCAGATAGACATTGATAGAAAAAGCGTAAGTTCTAGGAATTTATTCTATAGATACTCCATAAATAAATACAATGCAAAAATGTTCAAGGGAACCTTGTTTAAAACAGCAATACAGGGCCTCCCCTGGTGGCGCAGCTGCCTGTAGCCTCTGCAGCGCCGGTTCATTCCCCGGCTGCCAGCAAGGGTCCCACAAAAAAAAAAAAAAAAAAAAGCAATATAACTGGAAATAACTAGTTTTTCATTAAAGGGGTATCAAAAATTAGGGAACAGTTGTACTGTAGAAAAAAATATTCATGTATGTGTCAATTTATATAGATATACAAAAATTCATACGCATAAATATATATACATGCAAGAATATACACATATGTGTTTGTTTATATATTTATAAATATTTACATATTCAGTGAATATTTTTAGAGGAATACGCAGGAAACCATTAACAGTGTTTACCTCTGGGAGTGGGGTTAAGGGTACAGAGGATGGAGGGAGTGTGAAATAAGGAAAAACAGATGTACTTTTCATTTTAGTTTTCTCTGTGGTGTTATGTTTTGTACCATTAGTACATGTTATTTGCTAAATGAAAGCAAATCAAAACAGAAAGAAGAAATGAAAATAGAACAATATCAGCTAGGAAAATAAAGAAGAAATATTACAGGAATTTAAATTCTTACTGTCATTCTTTCTTAAAATAGACATAACCTACTGTTTTAAGGAAATAGGAAAATAATTCAGTAATTTGATGCAGCGATCTTACACAAAGAGCAAATAGTAGGATAGCTCAACTTCCATGGCAAAAACGAGAATTTGTGAGCTGCTTGCCTTAAAAAAAAAATACAAGCAAAATAATTTGTTAGCATATTTCCATCACTCACTGTATGACTTCTCTGTAAAAGAAAAGAGGAGCCGAAAGTAAGGAAGTCAAGACCTCCACTAGCTGTGGAGTCTGCTGTGAGGTATGTATGTACGTTCACATAGAGATTAGAGGTGACCAGATTACTAAGGTTGCTTAGTTAGTGGCTCACAATCATCCCTCTCTTTCTACAAAATCAAGCTAATTCTTTTTCGCAAAAACAAGGTGCAAATTATACTGGAAAAGCAGAGTATTGTACATGTTTCAAAATCCACGAAACATTATCCATACATATTTGCTTAGCCAATAATATGGGTAAATACGTATGATGTGCAGTTTGTACCAGGCACAGTTCCAAGTTCTTTCCATGTATTAATTAATTTTATCTTTCCACAGTCCTCAAAGAGAGGAACTGTTATTACAAATCAGATTATTTAGATAAGAAAACCCAGGCTCAGAGAAGTTATGTAACTTATTTACCACACTTTTCTTTAGCTACTCTAAAATATAAATCATTACAACATGTTAAAAGTATGATGTAAAATGACTTTAAGAGAACTTCATTTTAAGGCATTTATTCTAAGATTAAAGATACACTGCAAATAAAAATAAACAAGAATTCTGACATACTCAGCCCAAAGATTAAAAATTAACGATTAACTTTTTGTTATTATCAGCTATGCCCACACAGGTAATACCAGATTCTCTTTTATATTGCTAAAAACATGAAATAGAATCATTAAAATGCTAACAGTCTTTCATTTTTTTTCAATTCTGTTTGCTTAGCAGAATTGGACTAATAGTAATCTAATCTTTTATAATGTTTTGAAAATGGATTCTAGTTAAAAGATTGTTGCAGTGTTCTATAAGTGGGAAAATACAGGCTGGTGAAATAACAATCTCTTGCCACACAGTAACCCATTTGAAGTAACCTACCTAGAATTCAGAAGTTACTGAACTTTTCCTGTATGGTCATACCACAAACCATGAAAAATGTGTGGTGTAGCATCTGAAATACATTAAACTTCATTGGACTTGAAATAATTTTCCTAAACCATTAGCCATACTGAAATTTAATTACTTTGCAACATGTGCTTCAGCCACAATCATTTACTTAAGACTTGGAGAAGAGATATAGGATATACCATCCTCTGTTAAGTTGAGTGAAATCTTTTATGCCATCCTGTCTAACATTCCCATAAAGCAAGATATCCATCTAAAATTATTTGAGAATTGGGCATTTCCCCCTGTTCTAATATATTTCAGTAATTTGGTGCCCTTTATTTTTAGAAACTATTTCTTCAAAGTCGACGGCCTTTTGTTGGCTACGAAATTTCATAGTATAAACTAAAATGTTCTTCCCTAATTTTGACCCATTTATTCTGGTTTTTCCAAATAGAGTTAGGTAGTCCACTCTTTCCTGTAGGAATCCTTCAGTAGTTATAGACAATCATCACACCTCCTTAAATTCTTCCCAGGTTAGTTATGTCCTGCTGCCTCAATGTTTCTTATAGGAGCTTTTGTTTTCCAATTTCTCATTGGCTGTTTAACATTATTGCTGCAACATGATTCATGAAAGTGGTTGCAGGGTTCCAAGGATGTCTGACCATTGTAAATTACAATATAACCAAAACAACTTCCATCATACTGTCATCAATGCAACCTATGACTACATTGTTTTTGTAGTTACCATGTTTTAAGCAATGCTGATTGCTACTGAATTCATTTTAAATTAAAAATCAAGATGTTTAAATTAACACCCATCAAATTATGTTTCTTTTGCTCTAGATTTCTCTCAGTAGTTTGTCTATATTTGTTCTACTTGAACTCTTAAGGCCCTCAAATTGCTGTTTACCTCTTTTCAACTCTCATCTGCATAACTGATAAGCTAGTTTCCTGTGTTTTCCATCCAAGCTATCCATCAAAAATCGAATAGGTCAGGGACATACACAAAGACCTTCAAAACAAGGGACCTCAGTCCAGGAAGATAATAATAGCATACACAGCATACACATAAAAAGTTCAACTTAGAATTTTGCAATCAGGGGATCCAGCAAACAATGGTTTAATTTCAGCAGATAATTTAAGCTTTGTTACATGGTTTAGATTGATTTTTATGTTTTAATTAAGTAGAGCTGCACAGAGACATTAAATAATAATCTTATGAGGTAGGAATTGTTTAACTTTAGAAATAAACCTTGGAGGGAGTCAATAACTTGATAAAGGTTATGAAAATAGTGATAGAGTCAGAATTCAAACCCAATCAGGACTCTAATTATTCCAACTCGTTCTATTAATTGAACACTTCAGTTCTCTTCTCTATCAGCCACTATGTCTATCATATTATACCTGAGCATATCCCTTACTTGAGTCTGCACAGTATTCACATAGTAGTACCATTTTACTTTCTTTCAATATGAGTACACAGTGGAGATCTTACAACCTTTTAATTCAACAAGAAAAGAGAATATAACTAAATACATCTGTAAAATAGCTCGCATGCATACTTAGAAACACGTATGAAACTCTATCAAATGAGAAATTTGACAACACCATTATGTGGAAAACATTATCAAGGGCAGAATTTTAGTTGAGTCATTTAACTATTGACATTAATAGTAGTAAAGCAGTTCTCACTAAATGTAAGGGCTTTTCCAAGCAAATAAATGAATCATAGGATAACAGAGAAAATTGGGATTTTAATTAGAAAAAAGAGAGTTCAATTCTTTCCCCAACATTTATCAGTTTCTCAGGACTCTTCAAGGTTTCACTCTTCAGTGTCTCTGCAAGTGATCTCTTCCAAAGCAATGCCTCCATTTTCTAACTCCAAGAAAAATAATGTTCTAATGTTTTTATAACATAGGTATACAGGCCTATGTATCCCACTTTTTTACATGTTCTTACATAGAGAGTATTTCACACTCTAAATGTTTCTGCCCTACCCTCCAAAAAAAAAAAACAAAAATCACTCATTCATCTTTGCTCCAACCTCCAGTGACAGTATTTCAGTTCAAGATACCATCATCTACCTATGCTCTCATTCCAGAAACTCCAGACCTTCTACATTCTTCATAATTCTACATCCTATAGTTTGAAAATAAAACTCAAAAGCTGTCCATTTCCCTTCTCCATTACTGCTATCTTCTTGGTTTATACCATCATGTTCTCTCCCCTGGATACAGATAAAGTTACTTAATTGGTTCTTATGCCAACTCTTTCCTGTACCCAATTTATTAAAAACAGGGAGATCTTTCTAAAGTCCAAATTTTACCATGTCACCCCCTTGCTTAAAATAAATCTATGACTTACTCTAGAGAAAAGTTCAAATTATTTACTAGCCTTTATAGGACCCATACCACAAGCATAATCTCCCCTATTCCCTTATTTCCAACCCTACTAGATTTCTTCTTATTTCCTCAAATTCACTATACAGTTTCCAATATTGTACAGTTTATATGGGTCTCTCTTTGCATTGCTCTCATGGAGATGCAGTGATAGATATATGGAATTAATTTTTCAGTTTGAAAAATATCAGATACAAGATCACTCCATGCAGATTCATCATAAAGTCGCAGAGGGTTGGAGAGAGAGGAAATGAGGTACCAACCTGAATGAGCATCCAGCTAAACTGGCAGAGATACAGGTAATGTGTAACAGCAGCCATGGCTGAACAGCTCTCATCTGTGAGTTGGGGACTTGCATATGCAGATGCCAGAAAAACAATCTGTAAGAAACAAATACTTTATTTTTATATCATGCTAAAATTGATCATGAATATTAAGAAAGTAAACAATTTTCTTGTCTGAATCTAGGATTCAAAGACACAAAGGGGAAATTAGTTGATTTGTTGTGTACACTGACACGGCCAAGCTATTGGTAGCCACTGCAGCCTATGCTACAAGTTGCTCTGGACTCTCAGAAGGAAATTCTAAGAATCCTGTGCTTATCATTGACAGACAAAAATCTTATGAAATATTTAGTTTTTGCTAAGCCAAAAAGAGAAAACTGAGGATTCCTATTTTAGCTAAGCCAAATAGAAGAGAAAGGAAAGAAATAAAAGCAAAAACTGACTTTGCCATCATTTGTAAACTCTTGTATGTTAGAAAATAGGCCTAGATTAAACTTCAAATTCTGATTGCTCTAATCCTTGTGTTTTTATTTCAACTGCTGCTGTTCCTGATATAGAAATGTTCAATACATGACTGTTGAAAGAATCATTGATTCCAAGAACACAGAAGAACATTGCAAAGAAAAAACTAGCTGATTTATGCCTGAAAATCCATTAAATTCTAAAAATGAAACATAAACACCTTTAATGCTGTTTGAATTTTTTTTTTTTGATGAATAATGTACTCAAAAACAAATTAGAGCAATGGGGAAAAGTACTATTTATTTTTTCAAATGAAATATGTCCCTCACCAAACCTCTTGTCCCAAAGGTATCCATCGAATTTCCTTGACAATTTCTATATATGTGTGTTCCTCCTTAACCGGCCTCTTTGGTCAATTATAGATAATAAAAATACTACTGAATAAATTTACAATAATGTGTATCTCATACAATGATGCAGTAACTCTTCCGTCTTGGGAATTATTTACTGAGTCCATCCCGTACCACAGGGGTAAAATAGTCCCTCCCCCTCCATATTTTTTTAAAGCTATGGACACATAAACAAATCAGTTTGCCCTTTGTGCCTAACTCCCTCATCAGTAGTAAGAGGACACTGGAAAATATAAACTCTCAAGTCCCATTTTACATCAACATTCCAGGATTTTTTTTTTTAATAGCAAGCATTCTTGACTCAACATTTTGTTTATTTAGCCCTAGATTGGCGCATTTTTAACACACACTTTAAAATTTAAAAAGGCAGATAGTAAAAATTTATGTCTCATTATTCCTAACAATTTGTTACAAATGAGTTTTCTGAAAAATTAATGTCAACAAATTCTACTTTCCAAAACATATCATAAGCAACTTTTGAATTATTAGAGCTTAATGTTAAAACACGTTTAGATTATCCTACTAGTTAGCTTCTTCTAATTTCTGAATTAGAATATAATGTATCGTAAATTTAACCTTCCTAAATACCACCAATATTCATTGAACAACTTCACCAAAAAAGTAACACTGAACACCAAGTACCAAAACTAAGCATTAAAAACCTAAGCATTAAAAACAGACCTGTGGGGCCTCCCTGGTGGCCCAGGGGTTAAGACGGAACCTATGAGGCTATCCGCAGCCTCTGCAGCCTGGCCTGCCAGGGAGCAACCCACATGGGGCAGCAGACCTCTCCTGCCTCGCCAACTGCTCCCCTCAAGCAGTGTATTTCAGTCAATCTTCCTGTTCTTTCCCCGCCCTGTCTCTGGTGAATCCTCTCACCCCCACACCTCTGGCTTGTACCCCAGCTCTACTATGCATAAATAATCTTAAAAAAAAAAAAACAGACCTGTAACAGTCAAAAAAGGGGCATAGGGCCTCCCTGGTGGAGCAAGAGGTTAAGTCTCAGCACTATCAAGCTATTGGTAGCTACTGTAGCACAAGTTCAATCCCTGGACAGGGAGTTAACCCACATGGGACAGCAGACATCTCTGTCTCACCTGCTGCTCCCCTCAGCAGTGTATTTCAGTAGATCCACCTGTTCTGTTCCCCTCAATGTTTCTGGTGAATCCTCTCACCCTCCACACCTCTGGTCTCTACCCCTGTTCTTGAATGCATAAATAAAAATAAATCTTCAAAAAATTTTTTAAAAATGGGGTATAAATTTTGCATTTTATATTCTTTCCTTTTACAAATTGGCATTCATTTTAATAAAATGTTTATAAGTGTACTGCAATAAACTTAAGCCACTCAAATTCAGAGTCTATGATTTATTTTGAAACTTATTTGGTAGACTTTTCTAATCAACACAAACAGTATGCTATGTAAAAGAATAGTGTGATCCAAATTATAATTAAAAATGCTTAGTTTTAAGCCTTCTATGAACTATTAATGTTATGCTAATTTAAATAATTATTTTTTTAAAGATTTATTTATTGATGCATACAAGAGCTGAGGTACAGGCCAGAGGCGTGGGGGGTGAGAGGATTTACCAGAGAGTGGGGAACAGAACAGGCAGACTGACCAAAGTACACTGCTGAGGGAAGCAGCAGGCGAGTCAGGAGAGGTCTGCTGCCCCATCTGGCTTGCTCCCTGGCTGGCCAGGAATCTAACTCTTGCTGCAGTGGCTGTGGATAGCTTCAGAGGTTGCATCTTAACCCTTGAGCCACCAGGGAGGCTGCATAATTTAAATAATTCTTATTCATGTTAATTTTTTTAAATGCATTAGAGCAGGTAATTGTTTAAAACTATTCTTCACTTTCAGAATGCTAATGTTTTACTGAAGTATACTGTTTTAAAAAAATATATAGATTTCAGGTACATAGCATTATAGTTAGACATCATGAATGACATTCTCATCACCACTAAAAGCCTAGCTTTCATCCACGATAACACAATTGGTGCCCTTTACTCAATTTACCTCCCATCACATTTCTTCTTTGGAAATCACCATTTTGTCCTTTTAATCCAAGAGCTTGTTTTTTTTTTTTTTTTTAAACTGATGTATGTCTCAGTTTATATGCCAAAATGATACTGTTATTTATTGTCATTTAGTTTGAAATCAGGGAGTATGAGGCCTCCAGCTTTATTCTTTTGTCTCTAGCTTTCCACTTTTGCTTTAGTAGTTTGGGGTCTTTCATAGTTCCATGCAAATTTTAGAAGTGTTTGCTCTATTTCTGTGAAAACTACGATTAGAATTTTGTTAGGCATTGCACAGAATCTATAGATTGCTTTGGGTAGCATGGATGTTTTAACAACATTAATTCTTCCAATCCACAGCATGGAATATCTTCCTATTTGTATCCTCTTTAATGTCTTTCATCAACATCTTACAATTTTCAATATACAGGTCTTTTACCTTCTTGGTTAAAAGTATTATTTTTTGATGCAATTTTAAATGGGATTGCTTTCTTAAATTTCTTTTCAGTTAGTTTAGTAATATACAGAAATTCAACAGATTTTTGTATAATTATTTTGTATCCTGCAACTTTAATAAATTTTACTAGTTCTAACAGTTTCTTGTGACATCTTTAGGGTTTTCTATATGTAGTATGATGCCACCTTTCAATAGTGATAGTTTTACATCTTTTCCTATTTGAATGCTTTGTATTTCTTTTCCTGCTAACTGTTCTGGTCAGAACTATATTGATTAAACCGGTGAGAGTGGGCTTTCTTGTCATGTACCTGATATTAAAAGGAATAACTGTTAGCTTTTCATCATTGAGTATAATGTTAGTCATGAGCTTGTCACATGCAGCCTTTGTATTACCTTTTGACTTGCTAAAGTTGTATTAAGGCTATCTGCATCAATCTTCCTGGGGAATATTAGTTGATAGTTTTCTTCTAAGGCCATTGTGCATTGCCAATGATCATGCTATTCAAAGTATAATAGCATTTCCTTGACACTAATGCATGCATTAGTGTTGTTATTTGGAATGTGTTATTTGGAGAAACATTTAAAACTATCTGAAGACCTTTAACAAAATATTAAACATGAAAAACCAACACAACTTGGTGATAATCTCTAATTTCTTATATAATAGGGTAGAAGTCAGAAATGTAAAAGCAACTGTAATGAAAGGCTATCATTTTTTTTTTTCTTGCCTAACTATGTTTAATAGAGATTGCCTGGAGTGTTAGTATAAACAAAGCAGCTGCAGCGATGCCATGCTTAATTTCTGGTACCTTTTCTTCATTAATATGGGATTCAATGGAATGTTAACTACTACATTTTGGGAGCTATCATCTTTTTCATTGGTATTTCACTCTATCCTTAATAGAATGTTTAAATGTCAATAATATTCTGTCAATGCCAAATTTTAACTTTCATTATTATTAACATCTTTTTGAAGGTCATAACAATTTCTCCTGATTTCACAGGGATATTACTATTTCCCCCATTCTAGCTAGAAGATTTTAAATATTTTGGATAACCTCCCTGTGGTTTTCATGTAAAATCTGTTATGTTCACTTTCATCTCTGTCTCTCATTGTTCCATCTCAAACAAATCCCTACTCCTGCTATTTTATAGTTGGGCTATTAAATAAAATATATGGAATGTAAAGGAAATCCCTTTGAATAATAAGCTAAATATGCCTCTGAATGTCTTAGGTGTGTCAGGGAGTTGTTTAATGCACTGCAAGGGTTCGTTTATTTATTTATTTTGGCAACTCCTGAATGTCAGAAACTAGTCTGAACAGGTTTTTATAATTATTATTTTTTATAGTTGCCATAGTGAAAATACAGTATAAAAATCAATCGACATATTTACAAGTATTCAAATGGCACATTCTGTACATGTCCTGATTTTCTTATATTCTTGTCTCTGTTGGTGTAAATATCAGAGTACAGATCTCTGATTTATGCTATGTTACTGGTACAGCATTAAATGTGTGGGTTTTTTTTTTTTTAAAGTGATTCTGATTCTTTTTTTTTTTTAAGGTTTATTTATTTATTTATACAAGCACTGGGTACAGTCAGAAGCACGGGAGGGTGAGAGAATTCACCAGAGCCAGAGCGGAGAGCAGAGCAGGCAGAAGGACCAAGGTACACTGCTGAGGGGAGCAGCGGGCAGCAGGAGAGGTCTGCGCACCATGTGGGACCCTCCTCCCGTGGCCAGGGAGCAGC